GATGGGTTTTCTGGCCAGTCGGATGCCTCTGGCTCCACTTTTGTTTCAGTTCTGTGCCTTGTGGTGTGGGCTGTCTCTACAGGTGGTGTGTGAGCCAGGAGTGATAATCCACGGTACTCGGGCTGCATGCGCCTAGGGTTTCCTTCCCTAGGTGCCCTGTAAGTATTACCCTTGGGGGCTTGGGGCCTCCTTCCACAAGTCACCTTGGTATTTACCTCCGCTGTGTCTTTTACTGCTCGGTACTGGGCCACCCTTGGGGTCAGCTGTTTTTTTTGCCCTAGTTTGTCTCTGTGTAGGAGGTTGTTTTCGACACTGGTAGGGATGTGGGTTACTGCACAGCTATTCTTCTACAATTATAGCGGCCGGCTCTGTTCCGCCTGGGTACGTTGTCCTCTTGTGGGGTTTTTCTTTAGTTTTTGTTTTCTGCCTGGTGGGGGGGTCTCCCTGTTCTTCTCTTTGCTTGGTGGAGTCTCCCGTTTGGCCCCCCGTGATATTACACGGCGCGAGGGTTCAGCTTTTAGCAGTTTGCTTGGTAGACTTGGGCGCCGGTTCGCAGTACCCTGCCTGAGCTTCCCTTAGAGTGTACTCAAGGCTAAGGGCCCTGGAAATTCCCACGGGGACTCTTTCACAGACTTCCTGTGAGTTTGATGGCTGCTCTGTCCCCTTGTCTCAGGGTGACACTCACCGGTTTTGCTTCTGCCATGCTGCTTGTTGGGTCGGTGGTTCCTTGACCCGGAGTCATGTGGTGTTGGTTGTCTATTCATACTCCAGTTTTCCCACGCCACTCATTCTGTTGTGTGAGTACAGGCAGCAGCCACGTTGCAGGCTGGGTTGGATTGCTGCAATGCGTTTGGTTGATTGCAGCCCCGGATGCCCCAAGACTGCCCCGTTGTGGTGATGGTGCCCCAGCCTCCTGGTTATTCCTCAGCTCGACTGTGTTGTGCCACAGTTGTGTCTCCGCTCTGCAGGTGAGATTGTGCGGTCTGGCGACGCTGTCGGCGGGCGCTGGTACTCAATTTTGGTGGGATGTAGGTGTTGTGTGTTTCGCTTGGCCACTTTGTGTGTGTCTTGCCGTGGCCTTCCTTGTTCAGTGTACTGTGGGACGCAGCCTCGGTCTTCGGTGTCTTTTGTTTAGTCTTTCGGCGCCTGGATCTTTTCTCCGTTTTCTTTGTGCTCTCTTCTCCCTGTCAGTTTTTGTCCTCGCCTGGTTTTCCTCCCCTAGTTCTGCTTGCGGGGATTGGACTCTGGCTCCTTGGTCCTGCTTCTCTGCAGTTGTTCAACTGGTGTACCGTTTCCTGAGTCGTTTGGGCTCTTTCTTCTCTCCCTTTGGCGATGTGTCTGGTGTCTGCTTCCGCCACTCCGCTGGCTACTGCCTTCCATCTGTTACCTGCTCTGACACTGACAGGATTCTTTCTCCTATCCTTGTGTCTCCTTGGGTACTCCGTTTCCACCTGTGTCCCCTTCTTTGTGTACCGCCCGTGTTCAACAGTTTCTCATTCTCTACCCTTCCATTCCTCTGAGAATTTTGCTAGTTGTGTTCTTGTCTCTCCTGTCCTCGTAACTTGTGCCTCTTCGCTATGGGGCTGGCCTCGGGGTATGCCTCTGCAATTTTCTTAACGGGGTACGGGCTCTGTGCTGGGGCTGCATACTCAAGGTTTGGTCTTTTGTACATGGTATACGAGGGGCTTATACTGCCTACAGGTGGGTGTTGCTTCCGTTCGCCCACTCCTGCCCCTAAGATTCCTTTTCGTTGGTTTGGGTGGAGCTGGCTTTATGGTCCTGGCTCCTGTTTTCTGTTCCTTTCCAGGACGTTCTTTTTATTTTTGTGCGGTTCACGTCCTGGGTAGTTCTCCTCGTGTATACTTCGGTGACGTGTACGTCCTTCTTCCCTGCCGAGGCTGCTTGCGCTGCTCCTGCGGGTTGCAGGGTTGCTGTTTTTGCTTCGCGTTTCGGTTCGTGGTCTTTGTGTCCTTGTTGGCTTCTTCCTGTTCCCTGGTTTTATGCCGCCCTTGGTTGGGGGCGCTTCTTTGTTCGGTGTCCGGTCCTGTGGGGTTTCCCGCGTCTCTTGCGGGTTGGCCTAGCCTTGTAACGGCTGGTTTGTTCTTCCCCACGGGTCTTCGCGTCTCGGAGGGATTTTTTGTCTCGGGTTCTCGTCCCTTGTGTGGGCACTGGTGGCTTTGTTGTTGATCTCCCGCCTGTGTTCTTCGTCTCGGCAGCAGTAGGTAGCTCCTGGCGGTCCTTCCGGTTTTCCTATCACTGCGTAAGTGTACTGTGGTCTCTGATAGGTTTAGTTTATTTTATCCTTCACTTTGGGGTTGTTCCGGGACTGTCTTTTGGTGCCGAGTGCTGTCACCTTGTCTCCGGTGGCGATGGCGGGTCTGCTCCTGTTTGCATTCAGTCTTGCTGTTCCTTCTGCTCCATTTCGCTAGCTGTATGGTTTGTTTTTCACATCCGGCCTGATTCTGCACTTCTGGGGCTGTCCTGGTCGTTGGTCCCGGGGGTGGGGGGGTTATCTTCTCCTCGGTTGTCGTGGCCCCTTCGGTTCTGGTATGTTTCTCTGCTACTTTGGTCCTGGTGGTAGGTTGTTCTTTTGCTGCAGTCCCCTTCTTTTTGGGTGACGGTTGGGTCTACTATTTTCTGGTGCCCTTGGGTTGCAGCTTGGTTCGTCAGGCCGGGGGTGCTTTGTGTATTGTTTGGTTGCGGCTCTTCGCTGTTTATTGCGCATCGTGGCATCTGGGGCCGTGGGGGCGTTTTGCTTTGCCCAGGTTCCCTTCCTTCCTTCTTGTTTGGGGGTTAGGGTCTCCTGGGTCATCTGCAGGGTCCTTTGGTTTGGTTTGGACGCGTTACGTAGGCCTCCCGATTCCTTCCCTCTTTTTCCTTATCTTCGGTGAGGTAGTTCCAGAGAGCCATAGGGGCTCCCCCCAGAAAACCAGCATTGAATGTAATGAAACACCATTTTCTGGGTGAGTCCCAGAGGTTCCCCGGCATCCCTCCCTCCCTTCGGTCGGCGGTGTTTTTCACATATTTTGACAAACTGCCAGATGGGTAGCCAGTGCGGAGGCTTTCCCTTCCCGGGGAGGGGGGGGGGGGATTGCGCAGACGGTGGCGAGGCGATGAGATGACGTCATGCTAGTTTGCTATTTTTGTTTGAGGAGTTCTATCCACTCGTTCGGCTATCGGTAGCAATATTTTCACTAGAATAGGGGTTTGTTTTGGGGTGCCTACCTTTCTGGGTGCCTTTTGATGTTGATGGCAGACATAGAATGCTCCCAACCACAAGTGGGTTTCTATAGGCCATTGCTCCTCGTGCCTCTCTGAGGGGGCCAGGTTCTGGCTCGTGGTCCCCGGTAAGCAAGAACTCCATGCACCTTGACTGATGCCAGAAAGTTATACATATCCATTCAGTCTGGATAGCTCCGGGAAGCCTCCAGGACTCGCCCAGAAAATGGCGTTTCATTACATTCAATGCTGGTTTTTTCATTGTGACCGGATCTGGAAAATAAAGTAGAACAATATTTCAGCTGGCTGGACAGACAGTACCATTTAAACTCTTTGCCTGTTTCCTATTTATTTAAGATATGTCTGCCTCACCCTGTCAGGGTGTTGTTGGTTTGCAAAAGCATTATCTTGTTTTTTTTTAGTGGCTTTTTTTTTTTAGTGACCCCGCGGCCCAGTCCTCGTCCAGGCCTCCACCCCCAGGAAACAGCCCGTGACAGCTGACTATCTCCCAGGTACCTATTTACTGCTAGGTAACAGGGGCATAGGGTGAAAGAAACTCTGCCCATCGTTTCTCGCCGGCGCTCGGGATCGAACCCGGGACCACAGGGTCACGTGTCCAGCGTACTGTCCTTTCTGTCATGTATTTTGCCAGCCGAATTTCGTTACCCGGGTGACCCCTGCACCGACATCGCTAATGGTCAATGACGTCTTCCTTGTATAAGACTATTATTGTACATTAACCAAAACATCAACTGCATCTATTAGATGAACTGCAGTAGGTCTATTCCCTATTAATATCCCCTTTCATCTCCATTTTATACACTACAATAATGTTACTCAGAAGGATCTGGAAGCTTAATATTACCCATCCAAAGATGGTTTAATGTCCATAAGAATGAATGAAATCCACCATCAGCCATTTGCATGTAGCAAAGGGGTACAACACAGAGTATGAACTATCATGTATCTCAGCCTTCACCCCTGTTATCGAACCAGTATTTACCCAGGTGTTTTTTCTACATCTAAAACTTATCCACTTTATACCCATTGTTTCGTGTTCTATCTCGTGTTGATACGTTTTATGGGCTATTAATATCCCCCTTCATCATGTCCATTCTCTCTCACCTCTATCGTGTCACCTCTATTTCTTCGCCTTTCTAGATAATGAAAGTTAAGCTTTGTCAATCTTTCTTCAAGGATTGCTTATCGAGCATAGGGCAAATGAAAATGAAAACCCACTTACCCATTTTGCATGAAACATACCCCCACCCCCAGACACGGTGACTTCAACAGGGATTCGGTAGTATTCCAAATATACTTCGCTGCTAGTCTTGTGTACATCTCAAATTCGCTCAAAAACATGCCCCCTACTCTACTGTAGCATACACCCAATCTTATATACTCATTCAGTGTACATAAATATGAACTATTTATGTTCATATTTAATATGAATATGAACTGCATTGAGTAGAAGCGGTTTCTCATGTTTTGATATAGGCCTTCTGCAGTTACCTTCATTGTGACGTTCTCATCCCTAGTGCGGTTTGATCCACCAGTAGGGCACGTTGCTTTAAAACATAACGTTACAAGCAGTTCCAAGAAAGGACCTGGTCTCTCATTAGTGCATTCCTTAATCTCTACTGTTTAGTTTACCATTAGTTTATCAGGTTTATTAGGAAAATTGTATGGAGGAGTAGTGATGGGAAGAAAATAAAAAATTGTTTTAGTTTTTTATACATGTTTTGTACTGTGTAATCTATACAAATTGTGTAATATACCAGGTGGATGTGCTGTCTATGCTGGGCGGCCAAAACATGAAAGACTATGTTAGACGAATAATGCAAAGACTTGGAACGTACCCTCTCTGGTCCCAGTATAGTCTTAAGGGACGTAAACGTAAACGTGTCTTCCAAGATCTAGAGCTGTTCCATGTCATCATAAGTGAGTATAAATTTTGTGTACAAAATTTTCAAGGTAAACATTGAAACATTGACTTTAATACAGTAATATGCGCTTTTATGAAAACTGAAAGGTACAATTAAATATTTGTTAAATGATGTTTTGAAGCATTAGACAATTAAGCTTAGGCGGCAGATTGGTGGTTTTATTAGTAGGTGAGCTGTCTTCCTTGCTGACAAGATGTTTCAGAATTATTTCTTGCTTAGGTATAGATCAAATATTTGGATGGTACTGGTATTAACCCATAAACTGCTAAGCTTTGTAAAAACTCTACAATGTGGTGTGCTCAGGAAAAAAGTAATGAAAACTATAAAGGTCAACAGCAGTGGCTATTGTAACCATAAGGGTCAATAATCCAATTTAAAATATCTTAATTTAGTCAACATATTTATATATCCTTCAGTTATATAAAGCATTCTGCATTATTTTTTTTTGGGTCTCCAATTTTCAAGTAACTAATTTAACTTGTGTGACACCTTCAACCCTGAGTCATGTTGGCCATCGTCTGTTCTCCCATATTCTACAAGCCCTCCTGGTGATAAGGTAGCTGCCTTATCAGGCAGCTACCGCTCTTTGTCAGAGGTTTCTCAGTCTTGCAGTGGTCTAAGTTGTGTGCCCAGTTGGATGCCACGGAGTTACGTCGCTTGGTGTTTAGGTACCTGGAAGTGGTGGTCAATTCGACCTAGGCTCTGCTTGCACCTTCTCCTCCCTCCCCATCAGGCATAGTTCTCTTTCTTTTCCTTCTCCTCTGCTTCCAATTCCGAAAAGTCTCAAGGTTTCAGGGTCGTGGCAGGGTTTAGCTTGAAATGTGGCATGGTCAGCTTTGGGGGCTGCCTCTTTCAATTCGGGTGCTAAGGCAGTTAAGCCTCTCGGTCCCACTGAGGCTTCTGGGTCTTTTACCTGCCAGGCCCTTCCTTTGAAGCCTCTTCCTTCGACTCTGCCTTTCTATCCTGGGCAGTGGGCATGGACAATAGTTCTGCCCAGCGCCCCTCTGCTATGGCTTCCTGGGGAATGGAGGGAGTTGGGTCATTGACCCTTTTGACCCGTCATGGTTTTTTGCATCTTCCACAGAAGGTCTTTTGTTGCAGGAGTTTGCATCCCCCCCCCCTCCCTATATGATTTTCTGCATCTCCACTCAGAGGCACTTCTGGGTGCCTTGGGTCCGCTGGGGTTGTCCTTCCGGAGGTTTCCTTCCTCTTTGGATGCCTCTATGGATGCTTACAAGGCCCTGTTTTAGTTCTTTCTGTGTGACCTGGTTTTTCTGGGGGAGCTCCTATGGCTCCCCAGAGCTGATGTGGATATCTCTAACTTTGGCATCAGTCAATGTGGGTGGAGTTCTAGGCCTTATCTTGAGGTTATCTTGAGATGATTTCGGGGCTTTTTAGTGTCCCTGCGGCCCAGTCCTCGACCAGGCCTCCACTCCCAGGAAGCAGCCCATGACAGCTGACTAACACCCAGGTACCTATTTTACTGCTAGGTAACAGGGGCATAGGGTGAAAGAAACTCTGCCCAATGTTTCTCGCCGGCGCCTGGGATCGAACCCAGGACCACAGGATCACAAGTCCAGCGTGCTGTCCGCTCGGCCGGCCTACCAGAGACCACGAGCCAGAACCTGGCTCCCTCAGAGAGGCACGAGGAGCAATGGCCTATAGAAATGCACATGTGATTTTGGAGCAGTCCATATCTGCCATCGACTGGGACAGGCACCTAGAAAGGTAAGCGCCCCAAAACAAACCCCTATTCTGGTTAAAAACTACGAAAATAGACAAACGAGTGGACAGAACTCCCCAATTGAAAACGAGCAAACAAGCATGACGTCACACGAGCCGCGTCACGTAAACCCTTGGGTTACCTCCCTTGGGTAAAAGTGACCATGTCTTTTTGGGAATAAAGTATGCAATGCATTATAAGCTGGAAGAAAATAAGGAGGTTGAAGCAGTTGAAAAACCAGACTTCAGGAGAGGACATTATGGTGACCTTAGAAATTTTTTTAGTGAGTATAATTGGACAGACTTGATGCTAGGCAAGGAAGTGAATGAGATGTATGGCAAGTTTTGTGAAATATATGATAAAGGCACAAAAAAATTTATACCAAAACAGAGATGCAGAACTAGGAAACAGGATTGGTTCAATAGAAATTGCGAGAGGGCTAGAGACCGAAAGACACAAAAATGGAATCAATACAGGAAGAGGCCGAACCCCAAACATACCAGCGATACAAAGATGCGAGAAACAACTACACGGCAGTGAGGAGAGAGGCAGAAAGAAATTTTGAAAAAGGGATTGCGGACAAATGTAAAACAGAACCAGGTCTATTCTATAAATTCATAAACAACAAATTGCAGGTAAAGGATAATATTCAGAGGTTGAAAATGGGAAATAGATTCACGGAAGATGAAAAGGAAATGTGTGAAACACTAAACGAAAAGTTCCAAAGTGTGTTTGTACAAAATGAAATCTTTAGGGAACCAGATACAATAAGAATTCCAGAGAACAACATAGAACACATAGAGGTGTCTAGAGACGAAGTGGAAAAAATGCTCAAGGAGCTCGGTAAGAACAAAGCAGCTGGCCCAGATGGCGTTTCACCATGGGTTCTGAGAGAATGTGCATCTGAGCTCAGCATTCCACTTCACCTGATCTTTCAGGCATCCCTGTGTACAGGAATCGTAGCAGACGGGTGGAAACAGGCTAACATAGTTCCAATCTACAAAAGTGGCAGCAGGGAAGACCCCTCAATTATAGACCTGTATCATTGACAAGTGTAATAGTGAAAGTATTGGAAAAACTAATCAAAACTAAATGGGTAGAACACCTAGAGAGAAATGATATAATATCAGACAGACAGTATGGTTTTCGATCTGGAAGATCCTGTGTATCGAATTTACTCAGTTTCTATGATCGAGCCACAGAGATATTACAGGAAAGAGATGGTTGGGTTGACTGCATCTATCTGGACCTAAAAAAGGCTTTCGACAGAGTTCCACATAAGAGGTTGTTCTGGAAACTGGAAAATATTGGAGGGGTGACAGGTAAGCTTCTATCATGGATGAAAAATTTTCTGACTGATAGAAAAATGAGGGCAGTAATCAGAGGCAATGTATCAGAATGGAGAAATGTCACAAGTGGAGTACCACAGGGTTCAGTTCTTGCACCAGTGATGTTTATTGTGTACATAAATGATCTACCAGTTGGTATACAGAATTATATGAACATGTTTGCTGATGATGCTACGATAATAGGAAGGATAAGAAATTTAGATGACTGTCATGCCCTTCAAGAAGACCTGGACAAAATAAGTATATGGAGCACCACTTGGCAAATGGAATTTAATGTTAATAAATGTCATGTTATGGAATGTGGAATAGGAGAACATAGACCCCACACAACCTATATATTATGTGAGAAATCTTTAAAGAATTCTGATAAAGAAAGAGATCTAGGAGTGGTTCTAGATAGAAAACTATCACCTGAGGACCACATAAAGAATATTGTGCAAGGAGCCTATGCTATGCTTTCTAACTTCAGAATTGCATTTAAATACATGGATGGCGATATACTAAAGAAATTGTTCATGACTTTTGTTAGGCCAAAGCTAGAATATGCAGCTGTTGTGTGGTGCCCATATCTTAAGAAGCACATCAACAAACTGGAAAAGGTGCAAAGACATGCTACTAAGTGGCTCCCAGAACTGAAGGGCAAGAGCTACGAGGAGAGGTTAGAAGCATTAAATATGCCAAAACTAGAAGACAGAAGAAAAAGAGGTGATATGATCACTACATACAAAATAGTTACAGGAATTGATAAAATTAACAGGGAAGACTTCCTGAGACCTGGAATTTCAAGAACAAGAGGTCATAGATTTAAACTAGCTAAACACAGATGCCGAAGAAATATAAGAAAATTCACCTTCGCAAATAGAGTGGTAGACGGTTGGAACAAGTTAAGTGAGAAGGTGGTGGAGGCCAAGACCGTCAGTAGTTTCAAAGCGTTATATGACAAAGAGTGCTGGGAAGACGGGACACCACGAGCGTAGCTCTCATCCTGTAACTACACTTAGGTAATTACGTGTCTGCGCAGCTCCCCCCTCCCTGGGAGGGGGGAAGGGTGACCCCCAGACCCCCGCACTGGCGATCCACCCTGCAGTTCTTTGGCTGATGGGATTCAGCTTGGTCATTGTGGCTACAGCTCCGGACTCTTTGTTGTGCTGACCTCTCTTAGGGTGGTGTGCGAGCTGGGAGTAATATTCTCAGGTACTCGGGCTGCATGTGCTTAGGGTCACCTTCCCTGAGTGCCCTGTAAGTACTGCCCTTGGGGCTTGGGGTTCCCTTCCATAAGTCGCCTTGGGTCTACCTCTGTTGGCCTTTCGCTGCTTGGCGATTGGCTGCCCCGAGTGTTGCGGGTTTTTCCACCCTTGTTTGCCTTGGGGTAAGTGGTAGTTATTGCACTGGTGGGGCACGGGGTACTGCATAGCTAGCTTTCACCTTTAACAGCAGCCGGTTCTGTTCTCTTCGGGTACGTTGCCATCTTGCGAGGTTTTTCTTTTCTTTTTTCTTTTTGCCTGGTGGGGGTCTGCCTTTTTGTTCTCCCTCCCCTCTTATATTAGGGTCGTTTGTGTGGTGACTAACCCTGCTTTGCCCTCGTGCGTGGACACGTCCTGTGAGTTCAACTTTTAGCAGTTTGCTTGGTAGTTTGGGGTGCCGGTTAGCAGTACCTTTCCTGGGATAACCCTTGGCAGACCCAGTCAAGGGCACCCTGGAAAAACCCCGCGGGGGCACTCGGGTCCACTGGGTGAGACCCCTGCGTCCCCTCTCGCTTTGTGCGAGTTTGAGGATTGCTCTGTCCCCTTGTCTCAGGGCGACACATTGTTTTTGCCTCCGTCATGCTGCCTGTTGGGTCGGTGACACATTCGACCCCGAGTCCTGCGAGCTTTGTTGCTTGTTTGTGGCTTCGACCACCCTATATGTTGATAACATTCTTCG